CGAGCGCGGCGCAGAGATCGGACGACTATTACGATTATGACACTACTAAGTTGGAGGAGGTACCGTTCGACTACAAGGGCGATCCGATCGACAGAAAGGACGTGGTGGGCCCTGGTCTGCTGCCCAGGCCCAACGACATTGCGCCCAYCAAGAACAAGCAGACGGACATCTATCAGTTCCTGAACCTACCCGTCAAGTACAGCTCTAGTGACCGGTTTCCTCTCATTTCCAGTTCGTACGCCAACACAAAAATCCAAGGGTCCGGTGGGTCGTCGCCATCGTCGCCACTCAGCAATCACAAAATGCCTTCCACTCCAACACAGACACCAACAGCTGCAACCTCACCCGCCACCACTGCCTCGTCGTGGTACAACACTATTAAATTGACTACTGTCAGGCCCACCACCACCCCAACTCCAGCTCCGACGACCACTACGACCACGACCCCGGTCCCACAACAAGAGGAATATGAATACGATTACGACTATCCTCATCCACAAGAATCTATGTCACACCAAGATACCACAACCACAAAGGCGGCGATCACTAGTACTACAACGACCACCACTACTTCAACCACCACTGCGGCCATGAGTCCAACGACAGTCATTCATCGCACCAATCCGCCCCCGCCGCCACCGTCGTCGACGTCCTTTATCACGCCCGAACCATCCACTGCTGCAACGACTATACCACCGTCCTCGACCACTACAACAACATCATTTCCGGTCACCCCGTCGGTTTTAAATAGAACCACGGGCGCGGTGAAGGTTTCTACTGTCAGGCCGGAAATCGACTCCAAACTGGATGGAACGTCATTTGCTGACTACGATGACGCAATCAAACCAGTGGAAAAACCACATCAGCAAGAGACGTACRGTCAAAACTTCAAACCTCAACATTATCAGTTCGACGACAAACCGTATCCTTTGATCACCAACAGCAAAGTGCCTATGACATTCACCGCTCACGTATCGTCTGGTATATCGTTGAACAACCAAAAGGATCACTCGCAGAATGTCAAACCATCTCCAGCCCCAGTTTCGGAACCGGTATACTCATCTAGGCCTGTACGCCCGGATAATATACAAGATACAGTTAAGCCCGAAGAAACTGCWGTGTATGACAATTCGAGAGTGACGTTCAACAGTGGTATGCCTAATCCGCCAGTAAGCCCGGAACTGTCACCGGCGTATTTAAAACCCAAACCACTAAAGCCGAACGGAACTCCTGAACAGTTTGAGACACATTACTACAAAGTCAGACCGGATACTTATAATACACAACAATTTCCTGGTACGGTTTCGAACCGACCTACGAACCCTCTAATCCAAAGTCGACCTTATCAACCAGAGCCACCCGYAATAAAAACTTTCCAGACGGACATACCTAGAAAACCGGTGAATACGGAACTTCAAATGTCTCAAGGACGGCCACCACCTTATCCGGTACAAACTGATGAGTATGTCAAAAATAAACCTCAATACACCCCTCCACAGAGCCAACCCGATACATCCAAGTTTAAACCACCCAAACACGTAATAAACCATTTCATTAAAACTCAGCCGAATGAAGACAATAAAAGCTATGCACTTCAAACTTCTTTTTCAATTGGTATGGACGGTGAACGGACAGATGCTCGTCCAGCGCAAGGCATCGGCCAAGTTTTAATGGTCGAAGACAGCTCTTCTGAAGCCGTTGTTAACCACACGATACCTATAAAGACCAAATCGACTACGTCGATTCCACTCGTTCCTCCGCCAAGACCAGTCCAGAAACAACAACCGTATCCAAGACCTCAATGGGAGAACGTACCAAAACCTCCTGCATATCATCCATCTCCGAAACGCGATGGTGCCATACTTCCACCACAAAGACCAAATTTGCCCAATATTTTACCTCAGTTYAGGCCAAACGCCAGAGTCGATACACCGCCAACGGTACCTCAATCRCACTCTGCGACAATTGAAAGGGTTCAAATTCCAATGGATCACTTAAGACCTCCACCCCTTCCAAAACCTCAATTTTTAAAAGTAGACAGAAATGATGATAATATCGATGAAGATATTTTAAATATGCCTGAAAAGGAAACGAGAATTTTGCAGAGACCTGGACCACAACCAGCAAAAGTGACTACGTTGCAAATGATCCAACATGGACCTCCAACAAAATTACGAGATGATAACAAAGAAAATCCTGTACATATTATTTATGCGGCAAACACTCCACCAAAACCRTCTGAAAAAWTAATAGATGATTCAGTAATGCTAGACGTAAACGATAGATCTGATGTGCCAATTTTAAAAACTAAATCCGCCATTGTCAAGCCCACCAAAACAGACTTCCCATATCAAATCGTTAAACCTGATGAAAATCAAAACGCATCTTCGTTGGAGTATAAAGCATACAGCCCGACCAAATTGGACACGATCAAACCAAATTATGATCAAGAACTAGTTCCAAACCTTCAAGATTATGTTCCAATTGTAACTCGTGATTCTACTTCAAACATTGWGGTCTCACAAAAACCAATTACAGCTACATTAAAAACGTCAGAAGATAATCATAAGGTAGTTGATGAAACCCACAAACCTCTACTGCAAAATTTTCAAATACCCTTCCAGCCAAGTATAAAATTGCCAGAAAATAGTAACGGTTCTGCTGAAAAAAATGGATGGTCGGTTGTAAGAAAATCACAGATTGATAATGCTTCTGAGAGAATAGATGAAACCGGTGATGTGGCTGGGTCTACAGAGAAGTTTGATCCAGATAATTTTAAACCGCAATTGGTTGGTGGTTTTATGCCAATAAGTCCTCCTTCAGAAGATACAAATGAAAAAAAAACAGGTGAACAATCCGAAAGAGCAAAAAGATTTATAAGATATTAAAAAAATGTTTATAACAATTATGTCATACCTATCCATTGTAATAAAGAATTAGACATTTAAAAAAAAATTATTAGAAATATCTAAATACATAATTTGAATGCACATAAATCATAAACTCATAATTCAAAATATGTAAACTGATCACCTTGAAAGTGAATATTTTTTTTTTATTGTGTATATAATGTATAGATAAAAGTAGATAGGTTAACTTAAGTAAAAAATATATAATACCTAACAGTATTCAACAAACTGCGTAATTTAAAACACTTTTAAATAGGTATCTATATTAGTGAGTGCATGAATAATATATATACCTAGGTATTAAATTGTAACACAGCTATACACATCGAATGATCAACTAATAATGTACTTAATCAAGACATCGAATATTTATTTTAATTTAGTACAATAATTTATCAACAATATTTATTCATAACATATTTCCTAAATATTGTAAGCACCRTGTATAATGACATAATGTACATATATATTTATATTTATTTTACAAGTATTGTAGACATCCTAAATACAAATAATGAAATAAAGCTCAATAATTATACTATTTTATTTTGTATGTAATTTAATACTAAGCAGCAGTTGTAAGCTATAATAACGTCACATAATTATATTTTAATGTATTACATAAATTTAAGCATAATTTTATGATTTGTATTACAATTAAAAATATCTTCAATATATCGTTAATTGTGATTTGACACTTACATGTTTTACATTTATTTGTTAAGATATGATAGAAAAAATATATAAATATAATTATTTACAGGATACTATATATATATATTATATATGTATATTTTTATTGAAGACAATTTATTTATTTTATATGCAAGGTAAATTACTGACTTGGAGAAGAATCAAAAACTTGTCAATATGTAAATAGTATTATAGTCATTGATTGTATAGCAATTAACAATGATATAATTTTTATACATAAATAGGTAATTGTTATTGAATCAATATTATCAATGGTGACTATACCTATGTCTTTGTTTGTAATTAGAATACGATTTAAAACTTTCTGTTAAAATGTTAATTATAACATTTGTCATTACTAATGGTCTTGTGCCAATTTACTATTATAATATTTAAGAGCCAGGGAACTCACTATGCTTTACATTAGGTGTTGAGTGTACTTACAACATTTTTATTCTGTAGGTCATTGCTGTAATGAATTAAAAAAAAATTGCAAATTGTATTGATACAGCAGTCGTGGATGTATTGAATATTTGATAGAACWTTGCAACTTATACCAGAAATATTTATTTGGGTTGATAGTAAAATTGATTTATTCTGTGCATAGATATAATAAAAACTATAATATAATATTATGYCTACGATTCTGTGCCAGTAGGTACTGCCGTATTGGATATCTGATAATAGGTCTTCGGATGTTCTAACATGGAATACAAAATTCAATCAAACACCTGGGTGTTCCTAACCTTAATTGTTTATTTTAATGAGTTAATGTAAATTAACTACAAGTGTTAACTATAGGCACCTTAATTCAGGAAAAATTTAATTTTAAAACTTCCTATGCACTTGATTTATTATTATTTAAATTGTTTAAACACTACATACATATAGTTTATAATAACAAAATATACATAGGAAAGTTGCAAGTATATTGGTGTATAAGTGAATAACAACTTAAACTACATCATCTGCTCCAAGGGTGTAACATATACAAAATGAACACAATTACGAAATTGGACTAACCAAAAAACATACATACAAAATCATATTAATATAAATATAATGTGAAATTTTTAAATTAAAAAATTATTTGGGTTTCCCCTGACCACCCTCTTGGGTATGCCACAGCCCACAGACTATGCTTAATGAGAAAAATATCAATGTGTYCAGAAGTTAATGTTTTCATTAAATCTTTTAGGTCAAAAAATACAGTAGCTCATTGCAAATATAAAATACAGCATGGGCTAAAACTTTGATATAAATAAATATATGATATTTAAATATTATGTGTATTTATTCAGTAGCCAATAAGTAAAATTCAATAATATCTATWGCAACAAATAATAGTCAAATAATTCAATATTGAAATATTATAATCATTGGTAACAATTTTTTGTTTTTATAAACATATTAAACAATTTGCATATAAATCAATATAATGTTGGTATCAAAAATGAGATTAACACTTAACATACAATAAATAATTTAGTGAACTACAATTAAAAATAGAGATGGTTTTCCTTGAATAAATCAATTGATATTTACCATATCAATTTGTATCAAATAAGCATAAATCCAACTTTAAAGTTATAACACCAGTCTGTACTTCTCTCAATTGCAAATGTTTAGTAAGAGGTCCTCTACTATTCTTAGTTGATTGGATTATCTCTGATACACGAATTTCAGATCGACCTAAGAATTCTGAAATAAAATACAAGTTATATAAATTAATAAGCAGATTATAATTTATACATTTTTTTATATAATTTAAAAATGTATTCTACTAATCCTCAGTTTCAAACATAAATAAACAAATTGCAACTAAGAWCCATTACCATCGGGAGAATAATGCCCTTTATTAAATACTGTAACACAAAGAATATCATCTTGAATATCTTTGACAAGGAACTGCATTGATGAATCCCATTTAGGATCAGGAGATTCATTTAATTGTGTACGTTGTTTTCGAGATCCCATACTAACTTCGCAGAAAGCAGCTTTTTTGCCTTAACATAATTTCATTGTATAAATTAAAAATTGAAATAAAAAAAAACAATTTAGTTAACTTATGATAGATTACCTAGTTTCGGAGTTTGAAGTTTTCTACCATCCATAACAAAAACTAAGACTCTGCCACAAGCCCCAAAATCTGMTTTTTCTAAATCAGATACATAAGTTTAAAAACATTAAAACTATACCAACACACTAATATTATTTAGTTATGTACTTGATTCCATTAGTTGTTTTTGATTCTTTTCACTGGCAATCAAAATATTTTTAGCTTCATTTAATTTTTTTAACCATAAGTTCCGTTCATTAATACTTGGAGACGACAATAGTATAGGTTTATTGTCGTAATCAATTCGAAATTCAACACTATCAGTCACCGAGTCAGCAATATTTAATAGCATTAATAAAAAGGGCTAAATTACAACAAATCAAAAATTTAAAAAATATTTAATTTAAAAACAATATGAAAAAAACTTACTTGTTTGTAAATTTTAAATGAATCCCCTAAAAATTTGTCAAATGAAAATGATTGTCCAGACAGAATAGTTGGTTTTACTGGTTCAACAAGAAGAAACATATCATTCATCAAGAACCCAACAAGTTCTTTACCACTCTTAGTTTTTGATAAAGATCCATAGTGTAGAAATTTTCTTGATCCCAAGGAATTAGTTAATGAGTTAAATATTAGCCTTTCGCTTAATCTTTCACAGTTCACATGTGTTTGCAACCACTCTAAACGGTCAGAATTTTCTTTTTCCCTGACCCCTTCATTTACCTATTAATGAAAAAGAATAGATATTACAGAATACAATAATATAAAAAACCTATAAATACTTGAAGACATATTTCTTCAGCTTTAGCAAGTGCCTCTTCTAAGTGTATACGATCTGGATGAGAATTTGGAGTATGCTCTAAAATCTTTAAAAGAAATCATGGTAAAATAATTACTAAATACTATAACTTAGAGGTATGGATTTAAAACTATTGTATACATACCTTTTGTACTAGTAGAGGATATTTAGTGATTCGCTGCATGGGTTTAATAAGAAATGAACTCAATGGCAGTCCTTTGATGCGAGAATCACTCTGGCAACGTTTAGTAACTTCACAAAAAGCTGGGTTAGTCTCTGTTAGTTTCTGTAGAGTGATTGCAGCATTTAATTGACAGCTACAAAAGCGCACATATCTAGTCATTCTAGGAAACTAAAATTTAAAAAAAAATGCATAAAAAAATGTGTACAATAATAAACTTATAAAATTATTTCTTCTTACATGTTCACACAAAATATCACCAACTATTCGTACAATTCCGGCAGGACTCATATCTCTACGCACTCGTAATGATCTGTTAAATATATTCTATGATAACTGATAGGGTATATAATAATTATGAACAGCAAAGTCATAGTTAAATATTTGAAAAATATTTTGTAAATTTATAGTACTGAAAATACTTACGTCAAAAATATTTGATTACACTCAATAATTTCTTCCCAGTTAATAAAAATTTTACGAATGTCAGAAGTAGTGAGAACACCACTTTCATACAATGGTTTTTCAAACACCTAAATAACACGTAATGCATAACACTAGRTCAGGTTAAATTTAAAATTTTCAAATACAAATAATATAGAATAATATTATATAATATTATATTGACAGTAAAAATCGGAGGTTAACAAAAATTCATAGAACCTCAATTTCAAAGTTTTAAATTTTGTAAAGCAAACCAATGTACGAGTATTAAATTAATGTATCTTCATACTTCTAATATGTAATCTTCACCATTATTTAAACATTATTGCTAAAAATGTGGTAATAAAATAAAGATCAATTTACACTCAAGCATCCTAGCAATCAAAATAAGCAACATCATTGAAAAAGCCAATAAGAACATACAGTTTATATGGACACCAGGCCATTGTGGAATAGATGGCAATGAGAAAGCTGACAAAGTAGCCTCGTGAAGCAGTAAAAACYCTCTGACCAAAATATGCACATACTCATCACTCATCRACATCCACAGAAATTTCAACACTTTTTGTACCAATTTATGGAAATCTGAATGGCGGCGCACACCCAATAACAAATTAAGAGAAATAAAAAATACTACYGAATACTGGCTTAAACCCCATTCATAAAACCATAAAGATGAAGTAGTTATCAGTAGACTACGTATAGSTCACTCAAAGATGTCCCATGGACATCTTATGCRCAGAGAAGAACCTGTAATGTGCCTAATCTACGGAGAACCTCTCACAGTCAAGCATCTCCTTATCCACTGCCGTATCCATATAGATACCAGAAAAAATCTAAAATTGCCCGACAACCTCTTTGAAGCCCTCAGCCCTACCTATGACAACACAGACGAAATAATTACATTTTTAAAACAAATTGATATGTATAGTCTAATTTAATAACCTATTGTATAACCATATTTTACTATGTACTAAATACTAATTTTGTTACAAGCTAATAACCTTAGCAGTTGAAGCTGTACCATGAATAATAAAAAAAAAAATAATAAAGATCATGAATATAGCTAAGAAGTGTAATTAGTTGAATTCTCCAATTTGAAGTCGAAATAAAATAAGAGAAGTAGCCAATAGGTTTCATAAAAAAAGTAATTTTAATATGCTATTAAGAATGATAATTGCCACACCATTGGATATAACTAATATAATTGTCACAGCTCCAAAATTAATATTTTTTTTTCTAATCTGCTCGCCAAATAATTTCCGATATTTCAAACTACCTTAAAAAAACCTAACAATATTATAAATAATAGAAAAATAACTAATTAATATAATTTAATATAAATACTTCGTGTACTGCAGTCATATCTTCAATRTAGGCCTGCTCAGTGGTAATCAACTCGTGAATATGCTGTTGTCGTTTTCGTTCTTCTTTATTCAATTTTACTTTAATTGTCACTTCAGCTACATGATTATAACACATTAGAAAATTTGAATCATTTTCATCATAAAATTAATCTTACTAGCATAAGAGTAATCTAATAAAATTTGTGTTTATTTACACATATTAAACATTGAA